AATTTTAAGTTGAGCAGGATATAGATCGGTCATTGGGGAAAGGGGGGCAGCATTTATTCAAGGGGGGCACCAGAAAATGAAAACAAAAACGAAATGTCTAATTGTTGAAAGACATGAACTTTGACATGACCTGACCCTGCAGGTGTCTAACAGAATTTTCCAATGTTCACATCATGAAACCAGAAGTGTTTGAACAGAAAAATAAAGTATTCTTGGTGGCGAGTGATTAAAGAAAATACTTAACACTATTCGGACTATTTTGTCGCCATATTTATTAAAAGGTTCCATCTGTTGTTGTACGCTTCGGCCTTCGGTTGGTTGAAATGTCGAACTGAACGCTTTATTTCGCTCACTGGAGTAGACTATTCTAGTTCCATGTGCCGTGGATGTCAGTTATCAGTTATCTCCTGTTAATTCCCCTTTCCAAGTTCTCCACTGCCTTAACCGGGTATTGAACCCACACTTTTTGGGTCCTATCACTGGATCTAAGCAACGCCTTTCTCCACTATGCAATGTGTACTTGATTAACATCTCAGAAATAGAGACAGATAGAGAAAACTATTAACAGCACAGTAAATTGAAACATATCTTCTAAAATCTCAACTATATTACTACCTATAAGGTATGTGGAGAATGTCACGAGGAGAGGCAAATAAGAGGTCTTTACATAGCATTTTTTCAGGCAAATTTACAAGTAGAAACTGCCTAACAACAATAAAGAATATACATCGAACTTGCTACAATTATAAACCACAGCGACACCAGGTAATCAGACATTGATATAGAAGAAGAAGAATATCAAATTTAATTAAATTCATTTAAATTTATCAACATTGAACATTCAAACCTTTATTAACATTTACGTAGCTTACAATACGACGGCAAAAAAACCCAGAAGTGTGTAGACTCGATAAGAAACGAAATCGTAAAAGGAATTAATGTTATGCGAGAATATTTGCCAGACACATTGCGACTTTGCGTGATTCAATGTCTAATTTTATTTAAGTTTAATACTGCAAAGGGACACCCCACTATTTTATCGATATTTTCGTATCTTACGTGTGCCTGACCAAAAAAAGAAAATTACACAAAAATAAACCTTTGAACACTCTAGTGAAGGAAATAAAATGGAGATTTTATCATACGTTTGATAAAAATCCCTCTACTGCGTGCAAGCAACTATGTTTGACACAAGGCCAAAAGCCTGAGTCATTGACACTGATCTAGCAATAACAGCCATGTTTTACGATATTACCTGAATTAATCTTAATGGTATTTATCAGCTATCTTATAGTTTTATAATTTGAACAAGATCTTTTTAATGTGAGGTAACTTAAGTAAATATCCAGGGTAAAACAATCTTATCCCCGTGACATTTGTCAGACCGGCGTCGATGCATTAAAGTAGGTACTGTCCCTGGGTTGGAATCACCGGCACCAATTTTTGTTTCCACATAGCTGAGAGACGAGAACAGACATTCCAGTCCAAATTTTGTTGATATTTAACTACTCACTCGCAGACAAAGGAAAGGTCGGATGCCGTACATAGATTTTCAAGAGAATTTTCCCATTTCCCGCGACCACTTACAGGATGGTCTCATTATCCATCAACCCGACTTCATATATTTTAAAATAAATAATTTCATAATATCTTTGTAAAATGTTCAACTTTATGTTTGTATGAAAACACTGAAAATTAAAATATGTCTGTTGTAAACTCCGTTTATCAACATAGAGAGACATTTGCGTAAAATGTGTGAGACACTCATGGTTTGTATTGCTTTGAAATTCACAGTTTTAGGACTGAGATAGGCTATGTATTTCTTGGCATTTTCAACATTCTTCTTCTTCTTCTTCTTATTATTATTATTATTATTATTATTATTATTATTATCGTTTTATTTGGTTTCTGGTGTAAACATACTGCCAAAATAACGTTTAACATTGTTAGACAATGTGCTTTTCTTTTCTTAAATCGCGCTCTTCTCAAGTGTTATTATTATTATTATTATTATTATTATTATTATTATTATTATGAAAGCAAACACGCTATAACCGGCGCTCCACGGAAACCCGCTCATTCATCATATCTAAATATGCCTCACAACACTCTATCATTAACTGGCTGATATCTGCAGAAGAGAGAATCGTGGCTGAAAGGACATGCATATAATAGCAAAAGACTAAGTTGGGAAATATAACATAAAATACATAGAGAATTATGTCCATTCTTGTCATCGATGAAAGAATGAAGATTATTTTCACGATTGTGATTCTTGTATTATGTTCAGCTATACTGTTATCTTGCGTGTGATGAACAGTAATGTCTTCTACAAAAATTGAAGTGAATTTGTAATGTACTGATAACATGCTTTAAAGATTAAACGATTAAATACATTGCAGACTTTCCTGAATATTTCCGACCGTAATAGTGCAGCGTCTAAGATGTCTGTATGTCTTTTATACCGTTAAATATGATAACTGCTATATTGATAAAGTCGTGTGAAGTTAGTTTAATGAATATACCTCCACAGTCATCATAATTTATTTTTATTAATTACGCAAAATATCTTCGTCGATTATTGGTATCCACACAGATTAACTGTTTTGACGAAATGTCTCGATATTGGTATGTACAATACGGAATGATTTTGCTATAGGATAAATAGTTTTAATGACTAGCTCCAGAAACATTGCTACAGGAAAACACGAACAGAATTTTTTGTGATAGTTTAGGCAATATAAGGCTCAAGAGCCACTCAAGTTAGAGGACTAAAATGTCAGATTGTAAGGGAAAGAGACGGGGTAAGTGTTGAGGGGTTCTCCCTTTTTACAGAAAAGGACTCACACCGTATACATATACTACGGCTACATGAAGACCCGAGAGGGCAATATATGTTGCTACTAACCCGTATTCCTGGAACTACTAACCTGCTTTACCAGTTTGTATTATTACGTTAATACATTATTTTCCTATATTCATTACTGGCGTTTGTTATTTATTGGTACCGGTTTTCAACCAGGAATCCACAACAGTAAGTAACAGTGTTATTTGAGGACGTGTAGGATATATAACTTTTGAACCTAGAGACCTAGATTATAATCAAGTAACTTTTATTAATTTTAGACATGATTTTCATACACTCTTTCAATTTGTGTAGGTTAGCAGCGCCCGATATAAGAACGCATGTAAAAAGCTAATTGATTTACACTTAGTTTAAACATTCTAGTTTCACAAGGGCAAAAGTTCTGTTTCTATGTGTAGTGTCCCTTCAGAAATTAGACAAGCATAGCTCTCCTGTCCTTTGTAGCAATTAATGACTTTTGTTATCTCTCTTAAACCTTGCCCCGCCTCCTATTTACTCTGAGAGAATTAAAAGTCCTACCAGGATTTATTATTAGCGGCCACAAACTTAACAATATAAAACGCAGATGACACAATTTTGATAACAGATAATGAAAGGAAACTCCTACAAAAAAGTAGTGATGGAACGCCCAAAGACAGGACTAAATATTAACTGCAAGAAGAACATGGAAATTAAATTTTGGATATACCAAAATCAAACAAGTACAACAATTCCGATATCTAGGAAAGGTTTTAACAGAGGACCGAAAGTGTGACACTGAAATCGGGATAGCGAAAAATGCCTTCCAAAAGCTAAGTAAAATATTAAGAAACAGTAAGATTACATTAGAAACAAAGAAAAGACTACTTGACTGTTATTTAATATTATTCCTCCTATATGGCAATGAATGTTGGACAATCTTGTCATAGATGAATGTGAGACGAGAAGCAACAGAAACGTGGCTCTATAGTAGGATGCTGAGAATACCATGAACCGAACATTTGAGCAACGTTGCCATTTTAGAGAAAACGGAAGCAAAATGTAAACTTATACTTAACGGCAGGAAGAGAGAGCTGAAATATCTATGGCATATCATGAAGAAATGGAGGTTAAAGTTTATGCTGCTCACAGAACATGTTAAAGGCAAGAGAGATAAGATGAAAACAATCCATTACTTACAAAGAGAGCCTGAGCGAATAGATGGCGGAGAAATGTTTAGGAGATAAACAAAAAGGCAAAATTTATTAATTACAAATTAGAGGAAATTGTGGTGAGCCATGATTGCCTATGACCTGAAGGGATGTAGCACATAGGAGAAGAATAAAAGAGGTTGTGGATTATTCTAATAACCTCCCCAAATATGTTATGGTTACCTACCAGTTCCAACAGTTCATTATGAATTACTTTATCAAACACTTTTAGCAGCTCGCAAACAGATCTCAGTGAAACGATTTCGTTGCATTTACTTTCGTACAAATACCATTGGGAAAGTCATGAAACCATCACATTACGGCACACCACTGATGCTCTTTCGGTTAAATGGCAGTTCAAAAAGATTAGAAAGACAACACTGATTTCAAAATATTACGTAGCTCTGGTAAGATTCATGCTACTAAGCTATTGATAATATTCTAAATATTTTTGAGTTCACAAATCAACATTGGTGTTGGAATTTAGACTTTATGATCTCGACTGTTGACAAAGGTCTTTTATAGTAATTCACACATACAAAAGACAAGGATTCTGGGGATTGGTTGATTGATTTAGCAAATTATTCCATACCAGATATATTATTAGATTGTAATTTTTTTAAAGATAATAATGATTAACTGATATATGTTCTACTAATTAACACATACCCTACACGAAAACGACCAATCTACCACTAGGTAGCATGCCACTAGGGTTTTCCGCTGTCGGACCGCCGGCGTGCTACCACTTGTGAACCGCTAGTAACTTGCGGGTGGCTTCCACGAGAGGACTACTGGCGTTGCCATCAGCGGGCCACTTGCGTGTAGGGTAACTGGGGAAAAAAGAGCAGTATTTATATTTCCCCGTGGTATTCGCGCGAAAGTGGTCATAACGAACCCAAATGGAATTTGAAATCGGGGAACCTATTTCCAATTTTGGTCCACTATTCATTACATCACACGTATTCAGCACCTGGTACTCCCAACCAGTCATATCCCCTACGTACTAATTCGGCTCGACGTTGCTTAACTTCGGTTATCGTACGAGAACCGATGATTCAATGCGATATGGCCGTACACCGGGAATCTGTAGAAAGCCATGACCACCAATGATATAGTATGAAAAATACAGATATATCAGAAGTCATGTTTCTCAGCGTTTATACACATTGAAGTGATTAATATAAATTTATTTAAGATTATCAACGATTCTTCAGCATTTTATTGATATTTCTGTAGATTAACAGAATCTTGCAAAAGGCCATAATGTGACTCACTTAATTTGAATTGATTACAGCACAAAGTCTAGATCGGAGAGCTTATTTTCTTTATCTATACACTGAGGCGTTCTGTATAATTTTATATAAGTTTATTATCTGTAGACAGGATCTTTCTTCATTTATTGATATTTACGTAGGTCAGCTGAGTATATCTCCCGGCTATATGTGTGGTGCACTAAAGGTTTGAAATCGCGAAGATAGTAACTGTTTGAGAGATTAGATTGATAAAGGTTTTATGTAAGTTCATCACAGACAAGATTTATATCTCTTTATTGATATCTACGTAACTTAATATTGCCTGACAAAATTCTACATGTTTGACGTACACCGTGTATAATGTACGAACCCCAGTAGTAATAGTTTTCATTTTTTTTCAAGTCGAGGCACCAATATCGTATTTGCAGTATTTATATTCAAACTGTTGCCCTAATCTTTATTGTTGTTTTCACAACGTTTCGTCCGCTGTGTCCCCCGGTCATCCTCAGGTCAATATCGATCTGTGTAACCTACAGTGAACTGAACCCTTTATTTAATCATGCTCTACAACTTATATTAAGGGATATCGTCTAGTTCTTATTTTATTTAGTACTGTCTGTTATTACTCGACCGTTTCTAGTGTGTGCAAGTATTTATTAACCGACCTAGGGATGAACTCGCAACCACTAGGTCAACAAGTTCATCAACGGTTTTCACTAAACCATTGTCTCAATTTGCTTTAGTAAATTAAGCGACTTCAACATAACCTAAGTAGGTCGAAACTACTCCGGCTGCATCTACTTATCTGGCACATACCGGGTATTGTAATCATCCATCAGTTGTATCACCGTCCACGCACAGCGACGCAGTTGGGAAAAAATACTGAGAGTTTCTCGGTCCCGAGGAACAGCAGACTTAGTCACGGGGAACAGCTGACCGGTCCCGGAAAAACCGCAGCAGTAACCTCGATCTCCAATCTAGGGATCTGCTGTCGCCAACACGGCCAGAGTAACCGACGGTTGCGGGGTCTGGGCAATTTTGGGCTCTGGCTTGAGTGTACGTGATCTGGTCTCCCATATTAAACCCGACCGTGTTTGTTTCGCAATGGTTGGTAGCGTGCCTCTCCTTATTTTCACTCCGTCCCGTAGACTGCACTGAGAAGTATTAATCAGTGTATATATGATCCAGTGTGCATTACTGTCCAGATAGATAGATAAATAGATAGATAGATAATAAACAAACTGAGATAGATAGATAGATAGATAGATAGATAGATAAATATTGAGAGTGTTCACATAGAAATCAACACCGTGTTAACTATGTTAGCTTCAAAGCGATTTACCAGATTAAACGTTGGTCTGAGGATTAAATTAAAGCATGACTGTGACAATCAGCGTGAAGTCTCGATTACAATTTAAAGACTCTCTGTATCTGTCGCTCTCGATATATATATATATATATATATATATATATATATATATATATATATATATATATAGTCTTTATTTTAGGATATTACATCAAAATAAAATATTGCTCGACTATTTTATTGAGCCCTCTTTTAAATTAATGTTACGAACGTCGGAGTTTATACTCGATTCGTTCTCACACACACACACACACACACACACACACACATATATATATATATATATATATATATATATATATATATATATATATATATATATATATCAACGATCTTCCTGACGGCATAGATTCCCAAGTTGGCATCCACGCGGACGACACTACAATTTACTCCTGCCTCACCTGGCCGCTTGTCTTGCAATGGGCCTCCGATCGGTTGTTAATTGGGGCAAGAATTGGCTGGTCAAATTTTACGCCTAAAAAACTAAATTACTCTCTATTAATCACCATAGAGATCCTTCCATGCCCCCCCCATTAGAATGTCTGATAGTCAATTTCTTCAGAGCAACTCTCTGCGTCTGCTCGGTCTCACGTTGACTGCTGACCTGAGATGGAACAAATACATTGAGTCAATTGCTTTGTCCACCGCGAGGAAAGTTGGCTCTCTGTGCCGCGCCAGGAAATTTTTCTCCTCGGAATCGATACTTCAAATATACAAATCAACCATTCGCCCTTGCATGGAGTATTGCTGCCATATATGGTGTGGTGCACCTTCTGTTTACCTCGGAGGTCTTGACAAGATCCAGAGGCGGATATGTAATATAATTGACCCTGATCTTGCGTCTCGTCTACAGTCACTCTCTCACAGAGGCGCCGTCGCCTCTCTCTGTCTTTTCTACAAATACTTTCATGGTATTTGCTCCGATGAGCTGCTTTCACTGGTTCCCAGACTCCATGAATTCAAGCGCCCTACGAGGCTGGCATCCCGCTCCCACCCTTTCACTGTAGAAACTTTTAAATGTAGCCGTCTCTTCTACTCCAATAGCTTCATACCTCGCACCTCTCGCCTGTGGAACACCCTTCCCTATTACTGTTTCCCTAAGAGCTATAATCTCCAACTATTCAAATGTAAAGTCTATCAACATCTCCAGTTACCTTGATCTATCCACTGTCCCCTCCTCATCCTTTCTTCTATCACTCCCTATCTGCTCTCGCTCCAAATCTTCTGCAACCCCCTGCATCCTAGTGGTTTCACGCCTTGCTCGGGGCGTAATGCTTAATATATATATATATATATATATATATATATATATATATATATATATATATATATATATTGTAAAATATCACCATGGAAAATGAAAATATATATACACCTCATATAAATTAACATATTTTAGACAAAGGTAATACTTTAAAATAAGCAAATAATATAACTATAAAATATAATATAAACGTATAACTAAATAAACAGATCAAGTAAATAATAAACAAATTAACAAGCTACGAATGAATGCCTAAACAAAAGTAAAGGCAATAATAATGATCAACAACAAATAATTAAGTAATCACTAATAAATAATGGTTTAAAAAATTAAGAAAGGACATTGTAAAAACAGCTACCGCTCCACAATTATTTCTATTCAATTGCTCCTCGAAAAATTTAAATCATAACTATTGCCTCCTTCTTAACAATCTTTAAGATAATACAATAAACCAAGGGCCGACAACCTTTTTCTATGTCCAGACAAGCGGTTTTAAAATTATTGCGTGTGCCAACAGCATACATATTTTTATACAAGTCAAGGTCGATATACCTGTCTTACAATATAATTTAGATAGCAATATATGGTATATATGCTTTAGTATATATTAGAATTGAAACAACTAAATATCATCTTTGCTTTGTAATAGTTGTTGGTTCGGATTTCATGATGTCAGTTGCAGCTGCGTGCCGTTGGAAATTGCTTTAGCGTATCACGTGTGGCACGCGTGCCTTAGGTTGCCGACCCTTGATTTACATAATGTATTCTACATGGTTATAGTAAGTATTGGCTCAAGGAATTCCTTACCAAAAAGAAATGAGTAAAGGCTTTTGTTTACATGTAATCTTCAAATGCACGTGGTCTAGCACCTGATCAAATTTACACGCATATATAAAATGATGTGATGTTTCAATTTTTGGCTAATCATTTTCAGATATCAATAATGAAAAGTATGTAAAAATACTAGTAGCCTATAATATAATATACTAGATTATCTATAAATTTCAACCGAACTTATCACTGTCTGTTCGGTCAAATGATAACATTAACATTATCATTTACATCAGAAGTCGGCAACCTTTTGCAAATTATGTACCGACTTAGGGTTGTTAATTCATTCAGTGTGCCAACAGAATATGTATTTTTATATAAGGTCAATATACCAATTCTACAATATATTTTATACAGTAATATATTTATAAAGGTAAAAGGCAATAGGACAATTGTAATATTAACCCATGTATTTCGTCCAACGTGGACCTTTCAAGGCAAAAACGAAATGGATTTAATCAAACAAAATAACTATTAATAACAAAACAAAATGTCCTTAGCAACTGGAAACGCATTCCAACAGCTAGGCACATTATAACAAGACAGGCGGTTTTCTTTGGTAACAAAGAGTACTGTACTGCTACGTGATATCTGTCCTCCTTTATGTTGGATGGTCTCCTCAAATATAAAGAAGAGACTCTAGGTAACGGAGGTATGGTCTTACTGAAAGATGCTAGGGATATCATAGACCGAGCGTGTGAGCAACGAGGTTTTGGAGGGGATGCCAACAAGGAGGAAGCTTATACTTGACATCAGGAAGAGGCAGCAAAAATTTCTGGGACACGTAATAAGAAAGAAGGGATTGGAGAATATGATACTCACAGGTCGAGGGAAAGAGAGACAAAGGAAAGTATCGCATGACATGCCTAGTGGGTTTAAGCAAGTGGATGACAGAACATGGCCTGTGAAAGTAGCAAAGGGACAAAATTTATTGAGAGCTACAAGGCATAAGGAGAAGTGGGGAGCCATGATCGCCTACGCCCTAAATGGACATAGCACATAAAAAGAAGGAAACGTTTGTTGCTTTGACTATTAAGAAATGTACGGTCTGAATCCAGTTCTCTTTGAGTTTGTAGTAAGTCGCGATAAAATTAAAATAAAATGAAATATAAAAATAAATATACAAACAAAAATAATAAATATTAAAATAATGCATCTGCGTTTTCCTTTAAAACCTTTATTTCTTTCTTTCTCTCACTCTCTAATCATCTCTCTAAATACTTCTCTCTCTACTAACGAGGAGAACAATCCTTGAATAAAAACATGAAGGAGAAAAGACTAAACCGGGTCCAAATAACCAGAGCTTATTAATTTGGGACTAAAAACTACCAAAACTCAGAGAGGCTGACAATAAAAT